GCACATCTTGCAAGATGAAAGACTTAAACACAACACTGCCTTCTATTGCAAAGTTCAGACCCACACTGGAAACCCAGATGCCTAAGTTAGCACATCAACCATTACCAAATTAAAAGAATCTACCTTCTAAGTAATTTCTCTGCAGAAAAAATGAAGGTAAGAGATCTGTTTCCAGATGCTACCCATCTGATTTAAGAAAAGTCAGCTGACTGTGCACAATGTATTATTGTTTTAGAATACATGACTATTACACCCTTTTTATTCCTCACCTAAACTGAATGTGAAATTCGGTTTCACATTCCCGAAGGAAAAGCCAAGAAAGTCTTAGGAAAAGTTAATACTTTGTTTTATACTTAAGTGACTCCAGCATCTTCAACAGCTCAAAGTTCATCAAAGCTACTTTCCTTAAAACCATTTTCCTTCACAGGACAGTATCAGAAAACATGGAGATTCCAAAAATCTACAATAAAGGTATTGGTAAATTGCTGACTGAGTGATTTCAAATTTCTGCTGTTCCAGTAGCAAAAAAATTTAATGAAAGTATTACTATATATAATTTAATGAGAGAAGGATCCAAATTTTCCTAACATTTTCTTCACCAAATAATAGTTCTTGAACTATGCTACCCTACAGGTAAGGTGTGGAGTCTATGGGGAAACATACTACTCAATCCTAGACACAGGGAAGAAGAATATTCAAAATGAGGAGACAACTCATGGTATGTTTTGTCTCTTGTCCATAAAGTCTCTCCTATAGGGTGGGATTTTCCTACCAGCTTCCTCCACCTCCACCTTATCCCACACCACACATTCTTGCTCACAAGCTTTAATTTGTTTAGCTGGAAATTCCTCAAGCCTATTACATCACTGCATTAGCAAGCTAAGACATATAGTTTAGAAGTATACATTTTGACAGGACTCACTACTAAGACTTCACAGAGATGTCTAAAAAATGTCCTGCAAAGTTTTATTGCATTACTTGCTATGTATTTCAAATAAATATAAGAACTGCCAAACTAGATTAGAAAACTAGACATTGAGTTTTTAATCTTTACATCTGGTAAATACCAGATGCCATGCACAAACAAATTAATCCTAAAGCTGACACTACCAGACATTCCAACCATGAGAAAATTCCTGGTTTGAAGTATTTCTGGAGCTATAACTAAATCAACATAAATACAAGCCATTCTCTGAAAGAACAACCCCACTCTAGCCTGTGTACCAGAGCTAGGAATTGTGTGACCACAAAAAGGTTTGGTGCAACAATCTATTCCTACAGAGAACTGTTAATTATTTGCTGGAGTTAATCTTCCATTGGGTTGGCCAACTCAACTCACACAAACACCAGACCCTGCAAAGGAGCAGACAACTTGGTAAACCTTTTTTTTTTTAATTAGCTGAGGTACAACATGAAAGCAACCCAAGAGAGACATTAATTCCTTTACAAGGCAAGCAGCAACAGCAAAGTTGGAAAGAGACAAGAGGAACACAGCTGCTCCACTCAGCAGTAGATTGTCCTAGACTGGTTTAGTTTCAAGAATTTAGCTCTTAAGAAACTTAGGCTACAGCTACACAGCTTAAGTTTAAATCAAACCAGTTCAGTTATCACCCTCCACTTTCTTGTCCATTCCTGTGCAACAATGTTGTGCATATCTGATTCAGTAACCATCTCAGCACACTCAACCCACCATACAAGCAGAAAAAATTAATTTATACAGCTCTACTCTTCCACTTATTTTTTCTCAGCTTTTGCCTTGTAAATCTACAGAGTACTACTGCTACTGTGGAAAAGATAAAGGAGTGCATGGGCTTGGGTAAGCAGACACCTATTCAAGTAAGGCATAAACCATAGTTAATTTCAAAAAACACTTGTTTGAACTTATTTTCAAAACCATTTAAGCATAAATCAGTCTAAGAATTTCCTTTTAGACTAGAAAGGAAAAACTTTAATTCTACATCTTTTAACTTGCATTTACAATCGCTTCTGGACTCATGCTGTGTTGAAGTATTTAATGTGGATCTTGAGCTGCATACAGGTTCATCATGCGGCCGGTGATCCAGGGACTGTATGGGGTGCTTGGGATTTTGGGTCATCCTGAGTTTCAGCTGTGAAAGAAAAGGAACCAGCAGGGATTGCTGGGCCTACACTGTTGGTTTGCTTTTAGAATCCAGCCACACTTCCCATCCAGCCCTGCAGTACAGCAGAGACTTGCCCCAAGGAGTGGCTGCTGCTGAATCCACTGAGTGAAACAACCCCCCTCCTCCCACTTTCCCTTTGGCCATGACAAATCTTATTTCTGACAGATACAAATTTTGTAAATCTCAGCATCACAAAAGCTTTATGAATCTGACTTTGGCCTGGGCATCAGTGATACCTGCATGGGTGTGCTCTATTGTTAAGGCTTAAGCCATGTGGTTGTGGAAGCGACAATTTTCACATGCATGTATCCCACAGTTCTGCTCAATTTTCCTAAATTCAGAAGTGTCTTTTCCACTCTACCCCTGTGAAGTAAATAATTTTAAGCTTTTTAATATCTTATGCTGAATTTTTGGACTCTGAAGTCTCCAGCCATGTTCCTGTCAGTCAGCAAGCCCACAAGAAGGATTACTGACTCTGTCATCTAAAGAAGGTTTTGAGGTTTTAAATAGCGCCCTGTAATATCCAACTTGACCATGTAAATTTAACATTCTTCTAACAATTTACTTAAGAAATTGTCTTGGTTTTAAAGGACCAAAAAAGCTCCAATCAAAGTGTGAATATGTGGGGAAAAAACCCAGCTATTGCTTCCTCCAATATCATGTATTGGTTCAGATTTTGAGCCTTGAATTGCCAAGCTTTCAGACAAAAATAATAGAAAAGGAAGCAAAAGCACATGATTATCCACTGAAGATACATTCTCTTCATCAACTCCTCTATGTCATAGAAAATTTTACTCAACCTGGATCCCTCACACAACAGTAGATAACAAAAAGGGTACAGAATGCACTACCTCCTGGATTTCGTTCCAGGACACCATTTCCTAGGCCAACTGAGGTCTTTAAAAAGGATAATAAAATACAAAGCTTTTGCTTGTGCCGTGCCCGCCAGCAGAAATCTTTATCAAAGCACATGCAAAAGCTCTAGAAAAAACACAACTGGAAAATTAAGAGGGAAGATTATTCACTGCTCTCTCCAAGAGAAGGAATTGTTTGATACAAGACAATTGCCAATGCTCATAAAAAAAAACAAAAACAAAAACAAAAAACACAACTAGACAGACCAAACTACTTATTAAAAAAAAAAATTCTATCCACAATCTTTCAACACTTATATGTCACTCCTTTTCAAATGGTCAGTTATATGCATCATATTGAATGAACAATTTGTATTGTAATCTTGCATTTTGTTCTAGTAGTAATGTTCTTAATTTTTCCTGTTCTTTTACTACACATTCTCCAATATTAGTTTTCCAACTTGCATTACTTTTATCTTTTTCCTTGCAGTAGACACAGCACTAGGAGACATCAGACAGAAGAGAGCAGAAAGGTCCACAATTTACACTTGCCCTATCTAATTCCCCAAAAACAGACAGAAGACAGAAAAGAAGAAATCACCACGAAATAAAAAACAGTACTGAAATGCTGAAGGACTAATTGTGCATCTCAGAGACTACAGCTACAGTCCAGGATGGCTATGTTCCCATTACACTCTGTCCAAAGGAACACGCTCAGAGCTCAGACTTTCTGACAAGAAGTTACCTTGATCTGAAGACATCCTACAGAATTTCAATCTGTGATAAAAGTCATAAGACTCTTCAGATTAAAAGACAAAATAGGTAAACAGAAGTTTAGAAATACCAGAATAAAAAATACTGGATTTACTTGATTGACCAAAATAGGGTATAAATTCTGACCAAAGTTCTTCCCCAGAGTCAGTTTTATGATTCCCTTCCCACATATGGTTTCCCAAAGAGGAACAAGGTATATATGGCAGCCTCTTCTTCACGGCTGTGGTTACTTTCATATTTTCTTCCCTCACAAAATTACTCTAATACAACTTTCAGAAATGTAATTCTTCCCTGGGTCTCCAGCAATACATTTTTTTGACTGATAAATGGGGAAGATGAATGAAAGAGTTAAAGGTAAAAAAAACCCAATACAATCTCCTTGCTTTAGGAAATCCAAATTAACAAATGCTGAAACAAAAATAAATTATAAGTGTTACACAGCTTGACATTGGTGGTATTAGTATCTTCCCATCACATAAGCTTACTGTCTACAGTAATAGATAGTAAGTAATAATCCTTTTACTTAACATTTCTAATGCAACTTAATATTTTACTTTTCCTTTTTAATCAGCACAAGAAAAAAAAAAAAGCTAGTAGGAAAATAGAACAGAAATCTTACCATTTCGTTTTAAACACCGTAAGTTGTAGTAATAGCTCAAATTATTTGATGCACATATTTTATCAGCACTGTTCTTTTTTGGAATTCACATAACTTCACATCTGTACAGCAGCATGCTTTAGTTACGTCACATTATAACCTCTAGTTCCATGACACTTTGTACTTTTCATTGAAAATTCCTTTTAGATTATTTCCAGTGTTTTCTATTTTGGAGCCAGAACACAAACAGAAGAAAAAAGTCCCTCTGAAACTCTTAAATGTGACCCACAAAGTTCAAGTACTGAAGTAAAAATTAAACTCCATGATTCCTTATTAATTCAGGGGTCCTGTAGCCCTTACCCTAGACTCACCAAAATGAAACAATCCTCCTCTCTTTTCTGCAGAGGGAAGGCAAAATGGCTCTAATGCAAATTAGCAAACTGAACAATTATATTTGATTAACATAATACATTCTAAACAAAAACTGTAGGATGTACATCTACATGATTTAGATGATAAATGGTAGGTAGTCTGGCATATATGGAATTCGTTATTAAATAATATCGATGCTCCATTTTACAATCTTTTTCCAAGTACCCCTTCAGCCCACTCCCAGCCCTAGCTCATTCTCACCAAGATTTCCATCCTCAATGGTCAGCACCACTTCATCCATCACCAAGGCCCGGAAATCCAGCTCCTCTTCACAGCACTTGGCCTTCAGTGCTCTCAGGATCTCCTGCTGAGGGTAATCTTCTCTGATGCGGCGGTCTGTTAAGAACCACAGCCTGGGAGCAACTGAACTGCACATCTTGGACTTTTCTTGCAACCTTCAAGGTCTCCTTCCAATGGAACTGCTAGACAGTGGAGAAGATGAGACTCTGTTACAGAGTACACAGGCTCTTATCTTCACGATCCCTCCTGTACTAAGTCCCACTTCCTCTGCACAAGTCAGTTCCTTTCAACAGGCTGCAACTTCCAACCTCCAAGAAACAAAATAATGTCTACACCTACTCTGCAACCAAAAGTACCAACAGCAGAAACAAATCTGTTTCCATTCCATGAATGTTAAATGCTAGAAATTAGGTCTTGGTCTCATCCCAGCTTTCTCCTCAAGAAGAACACAAAGATGTAACTGAAAACAATTTGAATGGCCACGTCTGAAGGCCAGAATTTCAACTTCATTATTAGGATAATTCCTTCTAGTGAAATAACTCTGCCTTTCTCTTAGGCACTGCTAAAATACCCAGTGATACACTTGATTTGTCTCATTCCACCACATATGAAAGAGTAGAGTGTAACAAACTCTTTATGTTAAAAAAGCAGACCAGAAGAACAGAAATTCATTACCACAGAATCTTCCAGGTAACTATTTAGGACTGGTTTGCTCTCACAAATATTTCGCATCTGCTGTGAGATATACTTAGAAATATATTAAGTAGTATCCAGAACACATAATAATGGTAAAGCCAACAGAAACAAGGAACAACAAACTGTCAGGAATACAGAACATTAACACATAAAACAAAGCAAAATCAAGGTCAGAGTGTCAGTAGTAGCCCTTTCTTGCTTCAAATCAATTTTTTAAAACCACCTTTACACATAAACAACATTAATGAATTCAGGAGCAAGAACAGAAAATACAGTTAAAATTGAAGAATTTCAATAGGCTTAGAACTGATAATAGCAAGGTACTGCTCCTTTTGCTTTGAATACAGAGGACATGGGCTATTTTTGACTGAATATATTTTTACTGAAATATTTTAAACACTGTAAACCAATTACAGGTATGTTAATGGACTACTTCTTTATCTTCAATAAAGACAAGCATGGTGTAGGGAATAGGAATTCTGGAAAAAAACAGAATCGTTTTCTGTGCCACCTTTAAACTTTCCTATTAAAATAAAGATGTAAAAATCATAACTTTCACCAATATAACTGAATAAGCTCCTAGCAGAACTGAACTCTGAGATAGAAACAGGAGTTTTGCCTGGTAGTCATAATGACTGCTGCCAGCAGACAAGGTGAGTACTAGAACATCTTTAGTGTATAATTGCTATCACTTGATATCACAAAGGATTTTAGTTTCTGCAGCAGGTTCTGGGACAAAAGGATTGTTTAGTTACAACTATAGGAACCAGCCAGTTTTTTCTAGCATTAAAAAACTTTTTTTTTCTACCACAACATCTTTTTCTTAATAAGAAAATAAAATTTAAAATGGACATTTTTATCCCTGGTACTGAGAACCGTAGTAACAACACACAAAGACTGTGAGATTTTTTTTTCCATTGATTTGGTAAATGAGGTGCAATAATAAAGCCAAGGCCTACAGTTCTTCTAACAGACTGGAAAAAGGCAGAAGTTATGGAAAGACAATCACAGACCCAGACCAGCCCTTCAATGCAGTCAAGATGTTCAAGGTACAGCAGGAAAAAGAGTGTTTTCTCCCTGGAGAAAAATGGGTGTGGGAAGTTATAAAGAGTATCTTTTGATCTCTCCAAGAACCTTTGTTCTTCAAAGCAGCTGGAAGTGAAAAGGGCAAGACGAGGCTTGGGCTGGCAATGGCTGACATCTATCAGACCGTGCCCCACTTGTGTGTCCCTTAACAATGCACGCCTGGACGCGGCGGTTTACAGGAAGTTCCTGGAACAACATCCCTTGCTGGGCACGGGACAGCCCGTGCTCCGCAGGAATGCCCCGCCGCAGGCCCAGCCCGGAGCCGCGGGCACTGCCCCCAGCGCTGCCATTTGCAGCGCGGCTGGCGGGGCGCAGCGGCGCCACCTGCCGCCCCTGCCGGGCAGCGCCGCTCTGCCCCCGGCCCCGACGGGCGCGTCCCGCCAACAGCGGGAGAACGCCGAGGGCATGGAAAAACACACCACGCACACTTTCGCAGAGTTTAAAAAAAAGAAAACAAAAACAAAAACCAAACATAAATCAGAAACCATCGTCAATCTTCTGCCTGCTTGGGGTTTTAGTTTGGGTTTTTTGTGGTTTGAGCCTCTTTCTCCCTCAGTACTGGTTCTAACGCTAATGCAAGAACCAAGTATTTTCTCCCCATTTTTGCCTTCTTTGCCAATCTGCTTCAATTTTTCTCAAAGCCCTTCATTACATGGCCCCATCTCCACCCCCTGAAATACACCATCATCTCTCCCTGACTGTCATTTCAGCACTTAATTTCTTAAAATTCAACAAAGGATTGAAGAAGAAAGAAAAAAGGTATACCCTTCTCTTTCCTCCATTTTCTACTTTTGAAAGAAGTTACAACATTGCTAAGAAGAGCCACCCATATATATCAAGGAGGATATTAAACCAGCGGGTGTATAAAAATGCCTTTGGTATGGCTATTTGTCCTTCTCCTAATACTACATCTCATTTGCTCAAAAATCTTAATGGTTTTATAAATGTATATATGAAAGCCCCCATCTTATCATAAGATAGGCAGGCAACAATCTCAAATCTGCAAGTAAAGACTGAGAAGCTCACTTTAGAACAAACTACAAGCCTGCAGCAGAGACAGAAACTAGCAGTCCTAAATCTTGGATCCTTTACCTCCAACCCAGTACCATATTTTTTTTCTACCCGAAAGAATTTCTTTTTCTAACATTCTGCTCCTAAAGCCGGAATATATTCATCAGTTTCAGTCTCACCTTATAATCTATTTTGATTGTGTAAGAAATCCCACATAACAAAACTTGCAATTTACCCTATTAACCCAAACATCTTAAAATTCCCTTGCACATTCTCAAGAAAATGGTCTGTAGGAGGAAAGCGGTGTTGCAGACAGATGCACAAAAGCATTAGGCTCTGAAGTTGGCTATTACTGCCAGAATTCTTCCCTGAAAACCAACTCCACCCATTTCAATCTAAAAGACACAGCCTCAGACAATGCTGGGTGTGCAGAGAATACTTCCTAATCCATGAGAGCATCTACTGCAAAGAAACTATGGTATATATAAGGGGAAGATCAGATGTTTAAATAACTTTAAGATGGCCACTTCAAGTGCATTTTTCACTCAAAGCTACTACAGTCAAAGTAAGTACAATCTTTCAATAACTACTTCACAGATTTATGAAAATAGAAGGCAAAAAATAATCACAAACTTAACTGCATGTAACAGGTGAGGAGAGGGGAAAAGGGTGGTATCAAAGTAAAAGGTCTGTGATAAAAATCAAACTGTGTGTCACACCAGCCAAGCAGACACTGCCACAACTGCTTCAGGAATACACTGCGTGGAACAGATTCCTTGCAATTTATGGAGGGAATGAACGCTCACCTCATCTTTCAGCTCTGGCACCCTTATCCTGGTTAAGCCAGGCCTTACTCCAGCAATCACACAGCAGCTTCCTTCCCTCCCCAGCACATGCAAACCTATTTCCTCCCACATTCCTTCAATCTGCAGTACACCTCTAGCAGCTGTTCTAACAAAAGCACTCACTGTGCTCCTTTTTTTACTTTACATCATATATGAATATGCTTTATTGAAATAACAGGAAATTCAGCCAATCAGATCAGCTGTCTAGAAAGATCTGGAAATCTTCTCTGAAGACCACTCTTTTTGCCTTGAAGGGGGTGTTCTCTTCACGGAGAAGATTAAAGACCCCCCTCTCTTTCCAGGAATGGGAGATTGGTCTTCATGGCTGATTTACTCATTCTCCTGTCTTCAAAACCCAAAAGTAGGAGAAAAATAGACTAGTTTCTTTTTCACCATGATGTATTTCCCTTAACATGAAACAAGAAACCCATTTTTAGGAGATGCTGATTAATTTATGTACTATTGATAAATGTGTAAGATAAAAGGTATCTAGTATAAAAAAAATAAAAGTTCAGTAATCTTTCTGTTGAGGATGCAACTCCTCATGCTTTTGTAAATTAAAAAGTCTAGGTTGTGTCTTCCCTATGGGAATAATGAATGGAATCCCAAATGTTTATAGTATCAAGGATCAACGTGATCTAGCTATTCCACCTGCTAGACCTGTGATCTGATGTTGCAGCACACTCCCACCGCCTACAGTGGGATCTGGGAAACACCTTAGTGGAACAGTTATTACCCAGAATCGCCCCTTTTTTAGAGCTTGGCTCAGACTCTCAAGTTACAGCACTGTGCAGATAACACAAACTCCACAGATTTCACTGTTTAATACAGAGGTAAAACCAAACTTTAGTTTTAGCATACCTCTAGGCATGTTTAATCCCTACAGTTGAGATACTGACAATAAAAATCTCGGGGAAGTGCGAAGGAATGAGCAAGAGACTGACAGCCACAACCGCCATGGGAAATGGAGAACTAGGAGAAACACTGCTCCAAGCACTCGCCTCACTACGAGTAATATTAACAACACCATTAATGTTTATCCCTTAATACTCATTTTCAGAACAGTGCTATTCAATCTGGAAAAGATATTTTGATTTCCTTTTCATCATAAATTAGCTAAGGCTTAAAACTGAGTACGCATTTCCAATAAACCAATCATGTCTACCATTACAGTAGTTTCTAGAATGGCTGGAATGATGCATTTCAAGACAGTGAAGACCTAAGAATGGCTGGCAGATGCTTGCATGTTATCTCCTTCAGGAGTCACCTCAAGGCAGATCTGAATTATAAAGTCAGTCTTAGATAGCAGGCCAGCTAAACAGCTAATGAACAGTTGTCCAGCACATGACCCAGCATGTTATCCATCATACACTGTCATGGAAGTCTCTGTCTCATCTTAATGAGAAGAGAGCTGTATTTGAAACATCCCAGAAATAGGACTTTCTATGTCATAGGGAGAGCAGGTCTGCAAACAGTTCATGGCTGTTTTGAGCATAAAGCGATTTCTTTTCCACACAAACATACCAGAATGATGATCGTCTAAAGAAAATGTTACAAAATATGTACGGATGATGAATATATCACATGGTGATAGAGAAAAGAACTGACATCTTTAGAAAAATAAATCCAAGATAAGTCAACTCGTTCCTAACAATGCTGCTTCATGGTGACGCTTAAGGCCAACATCAAGAAAAATTCCTCTTTTATATACCAGAAACTAGTTTTCCTAAGACTGTCACGTAACTGTTTGAGAATCTTTGGAAAGGACACATTTTTAAAAGCTGAAGAATCTGAAAAATTAAAATAGTTATTTAAATGCATTTTATATAATATATTGAAAAGCTGCAGCGCAATCTGTCCACTGCTGCTGCATTATCATCCACCCTCTACACATGCACCGGAGAATTGAAAGTCTCTGCAGGCAGGTGAACCCCCAAGCACACCTCTTTGAAAGCACAGCATTCACCTCCTTTTCCCTTTGAGATTTGTAGACTGCAACAGCCAAAGGATATGGGAATATATTAATTGTTCCCATTCATTCCCACCCCTGCAGACGGGCAACTGCACTCCCCATGATGGCTTTCATCTCCTTGTCTCCACCTTTGCACTGAGTGATGTTCAAGATGCTAGCAGCAATCCTCCCAGGCACAGCTTCCTCTGAAAGGCAGCAGACATCCACACCCCCCCATCTTTCCTCCCCTATGTTCATGCTTACAAGTAGAAGGCAAGATTCCTCATTCACACACCCCACTTCCCGATCACCACCGCATAATCCATTCTCTTTCCTCCCCGCAGCATGAGCCCAATACTGGTCAGTATCAGCCATCCTTCTACTTTGGTCTTGGTATTTTTTTTTCCAACAACAGGCTCTCAGCTTTTTCATGCCCCTCCACTGTCCCTGTGTGCGCACGCACGCACGACCCTGTGCAAATAAAACACACCATTTCCTCCCACATCAGCTGCTTTTCCACCTGTGCCAGGTTCCCCCGCAGTGTGGTACAAATTCCCCCTCTCCTCCCCGATCCGTGTGTACACAGCCAGTTTTCCCTCCTCCCTTCCCCCACCCCACAGTCTCTGTGCATGCCTCTCCCAGCGCCTGGAGTGGGGGAAGGGAAACATGCACTGCGTGAATGAATGGGCTGAAGAGACTTACCAGAAATTTGGTGAGGAAGGAGTGGAAGACGAAAAAGGGACTAAAGATGGGTGTTTCCTTCAGCGTGCCAAGCGCTGCTTCAGTTCTGGCTCCCTTAAGGAGGTCACGTGTCTCGCTAGGTACCCCTTTTCCTGGATCCTCTACTAACCAAAAAGGGTGGCACAGAAGTCTTCTGGATGCCTCCCTGCACTACACCCCAAAGGAGGGAAGGGTACTGCTGAAGCTCCCAAAGCAAGCAAGCAGTGATAACGTTTTCCTGGTCCTGTCAGGCACTGTCTAGCGGACACCTCTGGGACCAGGGTAGATTTCTGAGGGAGGATGGGGGGAGTAAATCAATGTTTAAAATAATTCCCAAATTGTTCTCCCCTACGGAGCAGGGAAGGATGGGAAAGAGTAAAAAGAGTACTGGTGAAGAGCTGCAGCTTTCTATGTAAAAGAAATTCAATCCTTGTGTCTCTACTTCCTCAGAACTAAATCCCTAAATGACTGAAGTCACCAACACCTAGGGAGGAAAAAGAAAAAAGAAACATCCCTATTAGACATAAACATACAAAGGTATGAAATAAACTAAATCCCAAAGGAAGAAAAGGTGCAATTCAAAACAGTAAGCAAAGCCAAAAGAAAAATGATGACATGAACATAATTAGAGGAAATGTGCAACTTTAAGTATTATACACAAATATACTATCACACAAACCAGTATTAAGGGGAGAAAGCCCTTAAAGCTAAGCAGTTTGTTCTTTTACTTAAGAATGTGCGTTCAATGGATAGACAAATCCGTACCGACAGGGGAACATATGAGGAAATTAAGTTTCTAAACCTACAAAAACTATTCCTATTTATTTGTGAGTCGACTTTAAACCTCTCCCCCAGAATAACCGTTAGGATTCAGACGAGAATCTGAATCTGGAGAAAAGTACGTTTCAGTTCAGAAGCGTGTATTCCTATGCATTAGGAGCATGTACTCCCATGCATTACAACCCACGCTGCCACAAAAAATAAACAGCGGTTTATAAACGGTGACAAAAAAAAGGAAAAAAAGACAAAAAACCCAAACCAAAAATAACATGTCTAGAGGATGCTTGCTTAAATGATGGAATCAATCCAAGATTAACAGTGGCACGCTTGGAACACGGAGCCCCCGGTACGATCTCAGGCAGTTAAGACACCGATGTGCCACCAGCTCTTTTTTAAACACCGGAAAACAAAAGGGGAGAGGAAACCTAGTTGGGAAGATCTTGCTGCCAGACCCAACGCCGGTCACACACCCCCCTAGCTCCATCACGTGAAGATCAGCCCCCACAGCCACGGCCGCTCCTCACGGACCCGTGCGGGGACGCGGCCGCCGAGCGAGCCCGCGGGGCGGCGGCCCGCACCCCGCGCTCGCAGCGCACCGACCCGCCCGCGGAACGCGGGGCCCGGGCCCCTCCCGCCCCCCGCCCCTCGCCCCCCGAGCGGCCGCCGCCGCCGCTCCCCCTCCGCCACCCACCTGGGCGCCCCGGCGGGCGCGGCGGGGAGGCGCGGGCAGCTCGCCCCGCTCGGCGCGCGGGGGACGCAGCACAATCACCATGGGCGCAGCGCGGCGGGGCGGGACGGCCGTGAGGGGACGGTCCCAACCACCCCCCGCCCGCCCCCTCCCCGGGCACGGCGGACCCCACCCCCGCGGGCTCGCGCCCGCTCAGCCCGACATCTCACCCGCCCCGGGCACCGCCGAGCCTGAGGGGACCCGCGGGGCGCCCACCCCCACCCCCTCCGGCACCGGGCCTGGGAAGGAGGGCGCGGGGCGACGAAGGCTCCGGGGAGACGCGCCCCTTCCTCCCCGCCGGCGGCGCGGTCCTAGAGGGAAGCGAGCGACGCGACGCGACGCTCCGCTCGTCCCCCCCGCCGCCACCCCGCCTTCCCCCCGCCTCGGTGTCCCTCCTCCCCGCGGCTGAGGCGAGGAGGCCGCGGCTGTTCCCTGCACCGAGCCCCCCGCCCGCCGCCGCCTCCCGCGCTCGCTCGCGGCGAAGCGGCCGCGGGGCCGTAACGGCCGCGCCGGGCTTGGCACGCGCGGGCAGCGCGAGGGCGGCGGCGCCGGGATGGCCCGGACCGAGCCGGGCCGGGCCGGGCCGGACCGGACCGAACTCGTGAGCGGCGGCACCGCCGCTGAGGTGGCTGAGGCCGCCCTCAGAATGGGTCAGGTTGGAAGGGACCGCAGCGATCATCTGGTCCAATCTGCCCGATCCAGCCAGCCCATGGCACAGCATTGTGTCCAGACATTGTGTCTCAGGTATCTCCAGTGAGGGAGACTCCACGACCTTTCTGAGCAGTCTGCTCCAGTGCTTGGTTACCTGCACAAAAAATAAGTTCTTCCTCATATTCAGGTGGAACATACAGAGCATCAGTTTCTGCCATTGCCTCATGTCCTAATGGTTGGCACCATCAAACAGAGCCTAGGTCTGTCCCCTTGGAATCCCCCCCTTTAATTGCTTATAGACATTGCTGAAGTCCCCCTCTTTTCTCAAGGCTGAACAGGCCCCACTCTCTCACCCTTTCCTTGCAAGAGAGCTGCTCCAGTCCCCCATCATCCTCATTCCCCCCCAGGACCTGCTCCAGGATCCTCATGTCTCTCCTTACTGAGGAACCCAGACTGGATGCTGCACTCCAGATGCAGCCTCACTAAGGCCAAGTGGAGGGGCAGAATCACATCCCACGACCTGCTGAGAAAGCTCTTCCCCATGCTCTTCCTCACACCCAGTCCTGCCCTTCTCCCCCACCCCAAACTGGGCTTCAGTCCAGCCCCTACTGCTCTGGTAGACCCCAGCCCAGGTCCTGCCATGCCCACCTGGCTTCTCCTGTAGCCCCATCTTCCATCCCTGACTGCCCACTCCAGGGTGCAGCCACCAGGCCACTGCCACTGGTGACCAGCCCCAGCACAGCCCAGGCAGCCGCGCTGTCTGGCAGTGCAGCAAACATAGAGCACCTGTTGTGCTTGTCACTGCTGCTGCTGCTGCTGCTGCTGCTGTTGGCATGTGGTGTGCAAAGCCAGAACCCTTGTACTTCATGTGGCAGATAAAGGTGCGACAGAACCACAGAATCAATTTGGCTGGAAAACACCTCTGAGATCACCAAGTCTAACCTATGACCGAACACCACCATGGCAGTAGACCATGGCACTGAGTGGCACATCCAGTGTTTCCTTAAACACCTCCAGGAGCAGTGACTCTACCATCTCCATGGGCAGATCTTTCCAATATCGAATCACACTTTCAGTGAAGAAATTCTTCCTAATGTCCAGAATAAACCTCCCCTGGCACAGTTTAAGCCTATGTCCTCTCACTTTGTGTACTGTGACATGTCCCCCATGCCACACATCATACAGCATCATGTGCCTGACATGCTACATGCTACCCAGCATGTAGCCAGGGCTGCACCATCTCTTGCTGCTGTCACTTCTCTAAAATAATAACTGCTGGCAGCAAGCAAATATGACACATCCCCTTTATCAACCGAAACACCTTGTTGATCAGTTTCTGTGGCACACCTATTCAGTTTCCTCGGTACCACACCCTTTTCATTCACTATATTGTATCAGCTGTATATTTCACATTTTCCTGTGTGAACTTTTCCTTCACTCAACTTTCAGGACCTCTAGGCACAACACCCACGCTGCACACCAGGGGAACAACACGTGTGTTCCTCAATAACCTGTGTTGCACTCCCAGCTTTGCAAATATGGAATGCAGCCACTGGTCATTCCCAAACACCCATCCTACCATTCAACCTGCCTTTGTCTATCTCTTTAGCATGTGGCAGTGCTGTCCTACCCATCTTAATTCTCTCACCTGAACGACAGTTTGTTCACTTTGTTTGCAAACATCTGGGTCCTACTCCCCAAACCTCACATGTGATTCAGTCAGCTCTTCTGAAAACTATTTGCTTAATGAGTATGAGGCAAGGCTACCTCACAGATTATGTCAGAGGCCAAAATCCCTATTTACCGGATATCATCCAATGCTCTCCTGTCTGCTTGGGTTGCTTGACAAGACTTCTGGCTTCTCACGGTTGCAAGCCAGAGACCACTTCCAAATTCAGGTTCCCTTCCTTCTGACGCTGTACAAAAGTATAAGGAAAAATACACTATCACCCACTTCAAAGCCAACTTGAAAGTACAACTTGAGAGCAGGAGGCAATCATAGGCAAGTACCAGCAGGGTAAACTAGTAATAGATAATTGATATAGATAAAGAACATTAAAATGCTAGACAGCATTTTTGTTGTTTTGACAGTAGCAAAATACTACTTTCTTTGACAGAATTACTACACTCTGAAGCCTTCTAGAACAGAGTTCCCATGTGCATGAAGTTCTCACTTTCAAAAGTTGTCATTTCAGGCTGTGAGGTGCACGGGGTTTGTTTACACAGGGAATTTGCTAACAAAGAGTTACTGTGGTATCACTGCTCTGCTGAAGATTGTGCAACAACTGCACATTGCCAGCATGCACACGTATTTCAGAGTAAAAATTGCATGCTGGTTTTAAGACAGCATAAAGCAGAGAGGAAAGAAAAATGTCTGCATTAGGATTTATATAACTATAGTGACACAGTAATAGCAGAATTTTTTTTCTTTTATATTTCAATAAGTAGCCAAGTGGTAAGGCAGGTGCCTCTGCTTCTCAAACATGGTTAGCAGTTTGTGGAAAGAGGAAAATTGCACAGCTGGGTAATTCAGGAATGTAGATTTTTTGCCATACAAATGCATGTTTAGTTATAAGACATCTGAGAGGAAGTCATTCTACAAATACAGGAAAAACACTCGTCATGCTAACAGTAAGATATTTTATTTCAAACCATTTGGAATACTTCAGCTGGGTCTTAAAATTATCAGTAACAATTTATTCTGCCAACTACCAGTTACCTTTGTAGTGGTCTCTCATGCAAAAAGGTAGCCCTGTATCCTTTTAATTACTGTTTGTTGAGCTGCTGGAATTGTAGTAGTTGAGCTTTTGTCAAGGTTGGATACCCTATATCTCTAGAACAATTTCCCATCATATAGAAAATTAAGTGGGTTTGGAAAGAGTCTTGAAACTTATTTTCCCTTTGTTGGAGAGGTAGAATGTAAGAAAGGGTCAACTTATTACTTAAAATGTGCCAACCTAGGATGTGCCTACTGCTGCAGAAGCTTTTGAGTCTTTTTTTTCAAGAGTTGTCACTACAACTGAGTTGCATGTAGATGTTATAATGTTATAGTTCCCAATAATTAGGCAAGACTTTTTTTTGTTTTTTTGTTTTTTTGTTTTGTTTTCCTCTGCCAGTGAAGGCAAGGTCTCTTCTGTTACATCTATTAAATCTATTCTGTTAAATCTAAATCTGTTAAATCTATTCTCAGGACAAAATTCTTACTATTTTATAGCACAAGAACGATATTGGACAGTGCCCTCAGTGTCAGTGGTCCAGAATACCAAGCTTCACCCTTTAGGGAAGAATTATATTTATAGTATCAACAAGGAATTGATGCCTCTGAACACTAACAAATCCTGGCACCTTTCTTTTGAGATTTTTCCCATGCACTCTGTAATGCACAATGTAAGGACTGGTCCAAAGCCTTAATGTATGCAAAATCTGATTTCACGGTTGATTCCATGAAACATCTTTTGTCACTGAGTTCACTACAACTGCAAACCAGCTGTTTAGTCCTGAAGCCAAAGCCTGCAGGATATTATCCCATTATTCACATTGTAAAATTTCATATACTGTCTCTGGTTGGGTGTATGACCTTGTGATGCAACAATGATGGAAAGTCCAGCATGAAAATGTTGCTAAGCCTCATTATTTATACTCATTTTCCTGTGTGCTGGCTATGTGCTCCCCTGTGTCTTCAGTAGCTACTCATTTGATCAGCTAAGTCTCATAGCGATGTTTCTGCTTCCCGCTTGGATGACTGAATGGTAAAAAAAAAATGTATAAGGCAAGGTATAGGCCTGTGTTCACACATGAATGCTTGGGTTCACATATGAACACAGATGGTCCAGTGAAGGGAAACAACTTCTGGCCTGTGTTTCAACAGGAAAATGGCCATATCATTCTTGTTTCATACCATGTAAAATGAGACTATGCCAAATGGTGCAAAATCATCTTTAATTTCATACAACCCCAGCTTCTCATTGGTTCTGCTTTTACACTAATTCCTGTTCTGAGTTAACTGCTGTAAGATAGCAGAAAATGGAGAAACTACTGCTAAGACAAAGGACTCCCAGCTAAGGGGGTCTGCAGAAAGTTCCGGGTTTCACTGACTCAGTCCCATACCATGCCCTCCAGAATGCGGGTTGCAGGTGGGTCTGTCGCCCGTGTCCCTGACTCCAAGGGGATCATCGCGCCCATGTCTCTCCATAAACACGGTCCACTGCCCCACACACACGGGCTTCCCATGCCAGAGGCGGCCCTGCTCCCCACGTACAGCTCCATTCCCTGCTGCCCGAGTGCCGAGCTGCTCCTCTGCCCCGCGTTCGGGTGGGGACCAGCCCGGCGGGGACTGCCCGCCGCTGCTGCCGGGACGAACACACCGAGCGGCAGCAGAGGGGTCGGGGTGGGGAGGCTGCGGGTCCAGTGCGGGAGGGTCCAGCCCCAGGCTCTGCTCCGCTGTCCGCCCGCACCCGAGCGCGCATCCGCATCCTCCTTGCCCGTGTGCGGGCGCGGGCGGGGCGCTGCGGACAGCGGTGGCGGCGCTGGTGGCGGCGGTGCCGAGGAGCCCAGCCTTGCCCGTGGCAGCCGACTGCGACCGGCGGCGACGGCGAGGTCTCTGCCGCCGGGCTGGCTGCCAGCGCCGCCGTCCCGCCAGCGGCAGCGC